AACCCGTGGGCTCAGGCAATCCACTCACCTCAGCCTCCCAAAGTGTTGGGATTACAGGCTGAGCCACCAAGCCTGGCTCCAAGAGCTTTTTGATGGAGTCTTTATCCTAAATATAGGATCATGTCTTTTTCCTAAATATAGGATCATGTCATTTGCATTCTAGGATAATTTGACATTTTCCTTTTCCATTTGGATGTCTTTTTAAAAATTTCTCTTGCCTAATTTCTCTGGATGGGACTTCTACAACTAAACTGTATAAGAATGGTGAAAGTGGGCATCCTTGACCTGTTCCAGACTTCAGTGGAAATGCTCTCAATTCTTCTCCATTCAGTTCAGTATATTATCTGTGAGTTTTTAATATATAGCCTTTATTATATTGAGGTATGTTCCCTCTATGCCCCAGTTTGTTGAGAGTTTTCATTTTGAAGAGACGTTAAATTTTATGGAATGCTTTCCCAGTATCTATCAAAATGAAACAATCTGATGCTAGAACTAGAAAAGAAACAACAAATCAAACTCAAGATTAGTAGAAGAAAATAAATAATAAAGATCAGAGCAGAAATAAATGAAATGGAGACAAAAAAAGTTTAATGAAACAAAAAGTTGTTTTTTTAAAAGAGATAAGCAAAATCAATAAGCCTTTAGCTAGACTATGAAAAAAAGAGAGAATTTCAAATAATAAAATCAGAGACAAAAAGGAAAACATTACAACTGAAACCACAGAAATACAAATGATCATTAGAGACCACCATGAACAACTATATGCCAACAAATTGGAAAGCCCAGAAAAAAAGCATAAATTCCTAGACACATACAAACTACCAAGATTGAATCATGAAGAAATAGAAAACATGAATAGACCAATAACAAGTAACAAGATTGAAACAGTAATGAAAAGTCTCCCATCAAAGAAAATCCAGGACCTGATGGATTCATGTCTGAATTCTACCAAACATTAAAAGAACTAGTGTTAATTCTACTCAAATTTTCAAAAAATTGAAGAGGTGGGAAGACTTCCAAACTCATTTTGCAAGGCCAGCATACCCTGACACCAAAACTAGACAACAATGCAACAAAAAAAGAAAACTACAGGCAGATACCACTGATGAACACAGATGTAAAAATCTTCAACAAAATATAAACAAACTGAATTCAACAACATGTTAAAAAGATCATTTACCATGATCAAGTGGGAATCATCCCAGGAATGCAAGGACGGTTCAACAGCAGCAAATCAATCAACATGACACTGACACTTTTGGAGAATGCTGTGTACCCCACCCCTTCTCCTAATACATTTTTTGTCTTTCAATGGACTGTTTCTCATTTGTATTTGTCTGATATGTCCTCATGATTAGATTGAGATTATGCATTCTCTGTTGGAACACCACACAGGTGGCAATGCTCTCAGAGTGTCACATCTGGAGGTACACAGTGCCTTGCTCTCCTTCATTGGTAGTATTAACTTTTGTTGTTTTTTTTTGTGTGTGTGTGTCAGGTTCTCACTCTGTTGCCCAAGCTAGAGTAAAGTGGCACCATCACAGCTCACGGCTCACTGCCTTGGCCCCTTGGGTTAAGACGATCCCTCCACCTCAGCCTCCTGAGTAGCTAGGACTATAGGTGTGGACTGCCATGTCCAGCTAATTTTTTTATATTTTGTAGAGACGAGGTCTCATTATGTTGCCTAGGGTGGTCTTGAACTCCTAGACTCAAACAATCCTGCCACCTCAGCCTCCAAAAGTGCTAGGATTACAGACATGAGCCACTGTGCCTGGCAGTAGTTTGTTTGTTTGTTTGTTTGTTTTTGAGTTGGAGTCTCACTCTATTGCCCAGATTTGAGTGCAGTAGCATGCTCACGGTCACTGCAGCCTCAACCTGCTGGGCTCAGGGAATCCTTCCGCCTCAGCCTTCCAAGTTGCTGGAACTATAGGCTTGCGCCACCATGACTGGCTAATTTTTTGATTTATTGTAGAGATGAGTCCTCACCAAGTTGCCTAGGCTGGTCTCCAACCATGGGTTCAGGCAATCCTCTCACCTTGGCCTCCCAAAGAGCTGGGATTATAGGCGCAAGCCACCAGGCCCGGTGGGTAGTAATTTTAATGTGATCACCTACTCATGGTTTGCCCAGTTGTTCCACTTTATAATTATTGTTTCCCCCTTTTGCAACTTATAACTCTGTGGGCAACACTTTCTGCTTCTAGTAAAAATCTTCTCTTAGCTTTAGCATCCATGGCTGAGCACAGCACTTACACTTGCAATTTCATCACTTTAGGAAGCCAAGGCAGGAGGAACTACTTAAGCCTAGGAGTTCGAGACCAGCCTGGGCAACACAGCCAGACACCGTTTGTATAAAAAGTTTTAAAAATTAGCTGAGGGAAACCCTCTCGAGTCCCCTCCTGCTGTGGGAGCTTTTCTGTCCTCTCAATAAATCCTGCTTTCAAAAAAAAAAAATTTTGTTGGTTTTGGTAGCACAGACCTGTAGTTCTAGCTATTGCACTCCAGCATGAGTGACAGAACAAGATCCTATAGCACTTCTAAAAAAAAAAAAGAAAAAATTAGCATCATCATGTGCCTGATTCAGTCTTTGCCATGATGGTTGCCATGTGGTAATTTCTCAAGCCCAGCCTTTTCTTGACATTTGTCAGTTGGCCCTGTTATTCTACAGCGAGAGACCTTATTTATTTACTTATTTATTTTAATTTGGAAGGCTAATCAACTCTTCTCAATAAAAGTTTTTCACCCATCCAAAAAGTCAGATAATCTCTTAGCTTTACAAAGAAATCTTTGGGCATATCCCTGATACATTCCTCCTGGATCAAAGGGTATGCATATTTTATTTTATTTTATTTTTTTGAGTCGGGGGGGTCTCACCTTGTCACCCAGGCTTGAGTGCCGTGGCCCCATTATGGCTCACCACAGCCTCTACCTCCTGGGTTCAGGCAATCCTTTTGCCTTAGCCTCCTCAGTGGCTGTGACACAGGAGCCATCACACCTGGCTAATGTTTTGTTTTTCGTAGAGAGGAGGTCTCACTCTATTGCCCAGACTGTTCTGAAACTCCTGAGCTCAAGCAATTCCCCCTGCCTTGGCTTCTGGAAGTGCTCGAATTACAAGTGTGAGCCAGCATGCCCGTCCTGAACAGTTTTGTGTAAGTAGTTACATTTATCCATCTTTTACTTTATGACTCGCTTCTAACTTTTATACTTGGAACACCCTTGTATCTTCTGAGGTTAAATATTCATCAATATATATTTTTATTTTATGAGTATTTGTGTGCTTAACATTTCACCTTTGGTAGAGCACACTGGCTCATGCCTGTAATCCCACCGCTTCGGGAGGTGGAGGCCAGACTGCCTGAGTCCAGGGCTTTGAGACCAGGCTGGGCAACTTGGCAAGACCTCTCTCTACAGCAAACCAAAAAATTAGCCGGGTGTGGTGGGCGCCTGTGGCTCCAGCTACTCAGGAGGCTGAGGCGGAAGGCCTGCCTGAGCCGAGCAGGCCGAGGCTATGGCGGCCGGTGGCTGTGAGCATGCCACTGCCTTCCAGCCTGGGTGACAGAGTGAGACTCCGACTCACAAAAAACAAAAACCAAGCCAAAACGCATTTTTCCACCTGGGAATTTGACTGTCATTCATGTTGGTGTAGATTTTGATAAGGAAGCTAACCTCTCCCCTCAAATAGTTAACTAACTGTCCCAGCATTCTTTTTTTTTTTTTTTTGAGCTGGAGTCTCACTCTGTCACTGTCGCCCAGACGGGAGGGCAGCGGCCGCTCCCGGCCACCGCAGCCTCGACCCGCCGGGCTCCGGCCACCCTTCCGCCTCCGCCCTCCGAGTAGCCGGAACTACAGGCGCGCGCGACCACGCCCGGCTGATTTTGGGATTTATTGCGGAGACGAGGTCTCGCCAAGTTGCCCAGGCGGGTCTCGAACCCGCGAGCTCGGGCCATCCACTCACCTCGGCCTCCCAAAGGCGCGGGATGCCAGCTGAGCCACCGAGCCCGGCTCCGGCATCCTTTTAAAAACAGTCATTCCTTTCTTGGTGGATCTGAAACATCCCCTTCAAACAACACACGGGCCAGGCGTTGGGCCTGACGGCAGGCTCTTTACCCGGCTTCGCACGGTGCCACTGGGAAGCGGGAGCCGCCATCCCGGAATCCCTGGGCCCCGGGGTGTGGCTGCCCAGATGGTGCCCGGCTGGTGAACAGGGGCTTACCGAAACAAACAACTTGAAAACACGCGCGAAGGGTTCTCTTGGCGTCCTTAGTGCTTACTTTGCGGCTGCGGGGACTGAAACTTTACCGTCTGATTTTTGAGCACCGCGAACAGGCCGTGTCACTGTCACCCAGTTCCAAGGGGCCTTAGTTCCAGAGGACAATCTAAGGAAGACACCCCAAGTCGCCACCGATTCGTCTCCCTCTGGACCGCGTTAACTTCAGCCGCCGCCAGGGGACAACTGGCTGGGCCGCAGGGGCGAGGAGGAGGGAGGCTGCGAGAGCGTCCACGGCGCCTGGCCGCGGGTGGAAGCCTCGCAGGGCCCCGGCCACCATTCTTACTGGGACTTAAAAGCAGTGTTTCCTTGCCCCGCCATGCCCCAAGGATGCACAGAGAGGCGGGAGGGTCCTCCCCGCGCCAGGCCGCATCCTGACTGGGCGCGGGGCAGGTGAGGTCGTGTGGGACCGGGGCGCGGGAGGGAAGAGCGAGCCCCAAGCAGCTTCCGGCCGAGCCACCTCCCCGGGGGGCGCTCGCGCAGCCCGCCAGGGGGCAGCAGAGATCCAGGAGGCCGGAAACCGAGAAAAAGCAGAAGGGAAGTTGGCGGCCGAGGGGCGCGAAGGAGGGGCGGGGCGAGCGACTCAAGACGGAGCGGTCGGCAGCTTGCTTTACGGCGCGCGACAGACTGCTTTGCGGCTCCGCTCCTCTTCCGACTTGGTTTACGGCTCCGCCTCCTGTCCTCTACCCCCTCGCCCCCCACCAGGCGTCTGTTTGGGGTTTGGACCTTCTTCCCAGAGGCCCCTCGCGCCTCCTTCCCAGTCTCCTCTGCGCGGCGCTGTCTAGACGTTTCCCCCAGCTGAAACCCGAGTCCGCGCTCCCTGCGTGCCCCGCGCGCTGCCCGAGGCGCGTAAGTGGGGAGGGGGAAGGGGCGCTGCGGCTGGGCCCGCGGAGCGCCTG